TCATGACCTTCATCGCCTTTAGCGAATTTTGGTTCGTTCGGTTTCGGCTCAGCCAAGTCTCGCTACCAGTAATGATGCATTAGATGAATAAAACATATTGAAATTGAATATGAGAGTGTCGATTATAATGCTACCTAACCTTAATCTGAGTTGTTTCTTATCTTGTCAGTGTAGAAACGTGTGCCACATCAAAGTGTGGCAGGGAATATGAAGTATATGTACATATATTATTAGCTAGAGGCGCAATCTAGTACTTTATTGTAGTTTATTTGAAAGAAATATTTTGATTAAGAATTGGTCGTAACGAATTTTTTTATAATAAGATGGACCGTCTTAACTGGTTCGCAAATGTAATGTTTTAGCGTCTCACCATCTTCCGTGCATGCTCTTTACTCTGCTGATTCCTATTTACCAACTCTTTTCTCGATTTAGTTTCTAAAACGATAGATAGTAACGCATTCGCGGTCATCAAGGCATAAATAGCCATATCCGATAGTATACATATAAGATTAAACCCGAACAAGGTACCTTAAGTTTCCCACGAAGTCACCCTATAAATTAACTGAGTCGCTTTAGTCTGAAGACTGAAGACTAAGAAACTGTTGTAGTTGCGTGGAGAAGCTTATGAACTACAGAAGAAAATGAGAATTGCACTCTATACATTCCGTTTTATTCATTGTATGCACACATACTTGCACTGACACACAAAAACATAAGTTCCATGTACTTTTCTTTAAATTGACGATATCCAAGTATTTTACATAAGCAAAACAACAAAAGCGACAACACGTATTTATTTGTTGCGTACAGTGTTTTTGCTTGCTCATCCATCGTCCATTTGTTCTTTCTTTCTTTTCAGCAACGCTACGCTCTTTGCCATATCCACACATGTACCAGTGTGCATATCCTCAGGTAAATTTACAACTTTTCAGTTTTCTGATCAAATTTATTTGCAGCATTAGTTTTTTGTCCGTTTTGCTATTGCTTCTGCTTGATTTTGATTGAATGTCCTTCCAGTAGCATCGCATCCATCACTCAGTGGCTGCACTGAAATTTTTCTAATCTTCTAGAGCAATGCAACCTTTGTTGTTGTTGTACCATCGCATGTATTATTTGCAAGTTTGTAAGCATGCAAGGAGCTTATGCTGTTGCACTATCACCTGCTGCTAGTTCTTGCTGACGCTCTGGGGCAGAAAGTGTTGCCATAGTTGCTATTTTGTTATTTTTGTTATTTTGTTAAAGGTTTTGTTTAGTTTTATTTTGTACATTATCAATTTAACATAGCAGTAGCAGAAATATAACTGCTTGCTTTATTGTCTTATTAAATTGATTTTTGCTTTGTTTCATCAAAGCAGTGATTGCTAGCGAAAGCAAATAGTTGGACGCATAACTGACATTTTTGTGCTTTATTTCAGAAATATAGTATAATCAGAAATCTAGATTTTATATAATACTTGCAATTTACTAGCAATCTTTTTTTTTTTATCAAATACACAGTTTTACATACATATGTATAAGATAAAGATTACACAGGTCAACAATTTTTTTTTGTTCTTCACGTGGGCTTTACTTAATATATTCTGGTTATATAAGTATTTATATCTATATGTGATAGAAAATCGAAAATAAATGTGTTTACAGCAATTAAAGTGATTTGACCATTTCTGAACTTCGCGCCTATATAACGTCGGTCTTCGCGGGCTGTTGCCGTCAAAAGAGAGCGGCAAATTTATTAAAATAAGTGAGAAAAAGTATGATTTAAGTAAACATGATTCATGTATGTCATGTAACCCTCGCAGATATATTCTGGATGGTGAGTTTGTTTCCTCCAGGTTTGTAACACACAGAAGGAAACGTCTGAGACCCTATAAAATATATACATAAATGATCAGCATGATGAGCTGAGTTGTCCGTTGGTCTGTATATATAGTCCCTCAGTTTTTAAGCTATCGATCTGAAATTTTGCACCTGTCATTTTCTCAGTAAGAAGCTGTTAATTTGTCGGAACGGCCGATATCAGACAACTATAGCATATAGCTGCCATACAAAGTGAACAATCGGAATCAAGTGCATGTATGAAAAACTCTTTCATTTGACGAGGTATCTTCGTGAAATTTGTCACGGATTATTATTTAGGGCAATCATCCAATCTCCGCAGAAATTGCTCAGATCAGATCACAATAGCATATAGTTGCTATACTAATTGAACGTTAGGAATCAAGTTCTTGTAAAGCGCCTTTGTATTTGTGAAGGGTACTGTTTGATAATATTAGTTAGAATCTAATATGCTACGTTTTTATTGTAAGCTGGTACCGAGGTAAAAAAAGAGCATTGAAGTTTCAGTGCCGAGAATTTGGAGGGAACATGGAGCAGTTTTTCGGCAGATGTGCGTGGTTTGCCTGGAAACCATACGGCTGACAATTATGACGAGCTGACCACTGACATCCATCATCGGACGTAGAATGGGCTACACATGTTACATTCTCATTTAGTTAAATTTCTAGATAATACGCGAGCTTATTCGAACTAGGACAAGCAAAACGCTTCCCTCAAGATATAATGGAATTTAAGGGACGTTATCAAAGGCAATATACCGAAAGTATGATTGGAGACTATATATGAAGGTTAGTAAGAGAATATTATACGGAACATGAATGCATAATCGGTATCTTTTAATAAATTATATATATGTAAAATTCGTGTGTATTTTTATTGAGTTGAATTTTTGTACTTTCTACACATAAAAGCATATTCAGAACTATTTTTTATTTTTATTCTTATTTATAAATAATAAGTATAAAAGCAACATATAGCAAATAATATGTGATTCTAGTGAGGGAACCAAAATCTGTAGAGGCATAAAACCGATGGAAGAGAAACGATTTTAAAGCTTACCACATCCAGACCATTAGCAACATATAAGTAAGACGAGTTTTTGAACTTTCACTCTTTTATTATATCGCTTTAGTTATGATGTAGGTATATATTATATAATATATAAAGTACTCAAATGAAGAAGTGCCGCAATAAACTACTGAAGCAGTTGCCGTTTAGCTCCTGCGAGTGTTGCTTGAAATAATGAATGCTGGAAAAACCCTTTAGGTCTTAAAACACCATTAAGGCAGGTTAACCAAAAGACTACTTCTAACAAAGAGGGGAATTATCGCATGTCTTTAACCCCTAAGATCTCAGCTTTAAACTCGGGAAAGCAGAATCGGATGAATGCATAGTTTGCGAGCAATATGGTGAAACAGAAAAACATTACGTTTGGGAATCATCTCCCTTCAGCCGGATAATACGATATACCAATGTTCTAATTTAAAAGAAATTGCACAGTTGGGGTAAAGAAAGCTTAGAAATTCTTTTTGTCAGATCTACAGAAGTATTGAATAGTGCTTAGGAAGCACAACGCCAGTAATGATGGCTTAAGTTAAATTAAGTCTGACCTTGTGGTCAAAAGCTCCTCCCAGGTCAGAAGACATTTATTTACAACTAACCAACAAACTAACCATCTTGATCGAAATGAGAATCTTGTTCGAAACGTTAACGAAAATAACAAAAGGCCAAAGTGAAAATAATCACATTGCTTTGTATGCTGTAAGGAAGCAAGTGCTGCGGAATAAATCGGTTAGTATTAACAGGATACTTTTTGCGCTTTCTAGTTCATATTTGGTAGAATTTTTAACATTTTATTTTAGTTTTGCAATCCCAGTAAAAAGTTTAAATAGTTAAAAAAAGTCTATTTAAGTCAAATTATGAAAGGAAAGATATATTGATTTATAACATTCATAGTCTATTTTGGTTCTTTTTTTACTTCTCCTAGTTATCTACCCACAACATTTTTTCCAATTTCTTAAGTTACTTTTCGCGATGTACTTAAATAGAAGACTACATGGCAGCGACGCATAAAAGCCAAACGAGATAAGCTTAAAATCAAGACCAAGAAAATGTACTGGCTACTGGGTTCTAAATCTAAATTTAGTCTGAAAAGTGATTTATATAAATGAATTTTAAAACTGTTTGGATATAAGTCGAACGTAGCAAAATTCCAAACCTCTCAGGTTGATCGCAAATGCTATGTGGTACATCAAAAATAACAACTTACAAAAATATATTAAAATAAATACGGTGAAGTGCGAGTTTATCCGAGACTCGGCGGCTGCATCCCTTAGACTTAACATTTAGATCTTAAGTTTAACTGCACTGATTAAGTTGTAAAGTATAATACCAAACTAATCGAATTGTGGTATATAGTAAAAATCTTATACTTCAAATGCTGTTGTATTAAATGGACAAATTGCAATTTCAGCAGCAGTGCTAATCTTGTAATATAATTGCATTTACTTATTGTCGCACGACAAATTGTAAAAAATATATATATATGTATATATATATTCAAAACAAGAAAAAACGGTAATATCGGCACCAAAGTAATAATACCATTTACAAATATAAAATATTCTAAATTTCATTTTTATCGGCCAGTTTGTACGGCAGATATATGCTATAGTGGTCCGATTTAAATAATTTCTCTTGAGGTTATACCGTTGCGTTGGACAATAATCCATGGAAAATTTCGTGAATATAATGAATTGAATTCGATACAAAAGAGTATGCTGATACCCCTTTAAAGTGTTACATCCGCTTACTTTAAAGCTATATGGCAGATTTGAGACCAGTTTTACAAATGGCATAAATTCAAAATTTCTGTCAAAAAAGATAATACTAATATTTGTTTGGATTCTTTTCCAGAAAGTTCTGGGAAATTGGAAATAGTTCCACCTACCTATTGGCCTATTTTAAAGGTCCTGTATCATGTGATGTTGATCAATTGTTGTAGAACATGCAATAATTTGTATTGCTGAATTAATTTAAAGTCAGAATCTTTTTTATATGTACTTCAGATAGACTAATTAAAATAATAAACTGAAAAGGGAAGGAATGAAGACAATACATACATTTTCCACTATCACAGAACGAATTGTCATTATGAAATTTTATAATTAATTCACTGAAAAAATTAGAAAAAACATACACAAATCTATTTATTAATACAAGTTTTCCAACCCACTAAAAGCGTCGAATAATGCTACTTATAGCCGCCAATATTGTTTAAGCCAACTAACCAAGCGTAAATATTATACACAAGCGTCTCCATTGCAGTCCCAGCGGGAGTATACGCCAACTCCTCAAGCGGTTTTAGTCAAAATACAGTGGGGTGCTAGAGGGTGAAGCGCGAAGTGCGGCGCAGCTGCGACAGCAACTGAAATATGCGTGAATGCACTTTGTGCGGGTACTTACAATCGATTCCCTGGGTGCCGATGCGAGTGCAAGTGGAGCGAGCACTGCAAAAGGATTGCAGTTAAGTGGCTGAGCTGCTGAAAAGTAGCAAATGGCATTGAAGAAACAGCAGCAACAACAAAGCATTGACAAAAGGTTGAACATAAACTATAGAAATAGCAAATCGTTGCCACTTTTACTGCTGCCACTCTCTTGTAAGTGTGTGTGTGTGCACCATAATGTTGATTTTATTTTGTGTGCTGCTACATGTTGTTGTTATTATACATATATTTATCCATGCCCGTCTGTCTGTCCATCTGTATCATACCAACCAGTCGCTGAGTTTTTGATATCGATCTAAAATTTCGCAGACGTTATTTTCTCCGCAAGAAGCTGCTAACTTGTCGGAACAGCCAATATCGGAACACCATATGATATATCTGCCATAGAAATTGATCAACCAAAGTCAAGTTCTTGTATGGAAAACTGTTTTATTTGGCAAGATATTTTCACGAAATTTTGTATGGATTTTTGTCCAAGGCGAATATTATAGCAAATATGTATTGTAGCTGCATTTCAGGCTGACCGATCAAAACCAAGGTAAATACCCTTTTATACATTTTTACATATACTGTAAGAAATGCACCTGAGCAGGGTATTATAGCTTCGGTTCAGAAGAAGTTAATGGTTATTTTGTTTTAGTTGTGTATTTGCTTATATTACTCTTTCGTCCTTTTGGTCGCTCGCCTAGCGGTTTCCTCAGCGCTGAAATGCGCGTTTGCTCGAAAAAGTCATGCTGTTCAGGCGATAGTGCCACCCGCTCACGCACACACACACTGATACATTGTTTCTATATGCTGTGGCGTGCATATGTGAAGCTTGCACTAAAATACACATATACGTACTCATATAGATATATAAATAAAATGTAAAGGTCTCAATTATTCTCCCAGCGGGATTTTTTCCTTTTAATACAAAGTTTTATCATCACCAAGAAGGTCATAAAATATGTTTTCATCTTCCTGTACAGCAGTAGCAGCCACAGCAGCAGGAGCAGCAGCGCCACCGCCGGAGTCGCATCGCTATATTTTCTTTCCGCGCATCATTTGCCCTCAGCATCACCGGCAGCTATAGCTGCTGCTTAAGCATCTACTGCTTGGCAGTTTTCTGGTATCTACCGCCGCTCTCTTCTCTGCTCCTATGCTTCTACGCCTCTTTATACGCTTTGTGCTATTTTCATTGCTTCAGTTTCGACGTCCTGCGGATGCTCAAAGCAGCAGATTTTCTTTTTCGGTTAATGTAATTTTTTTTTACTTTTTTTTTTGTAGATACATTTTCTTGTCCTGTTTTCTGCTGTTTGTGCTTTTTTCGGCAGATTTCTCCCCCACGCCTTTATCGTTGTCGCTCATTCACTTGTTTGTTACTACAGCTCATTCGTTTAAGTCATTTTACAGCAATTTTGCTTATAGCCAATTTAGTGGTTGCACAGTTATACCAAAGCCAATGTTGCCAGCAATCGCCAACGGGGGCTGCCACGAGCCATTTAAGCTGGTGCTGCTTGCAGCTTCTTTCAATATACTTACCTGAGCTGATGCAATTTTCTTTGTTAGCGTTTGGTGTGTTCGGTATTTTGTTTTTGTGGTTGACATATACCATAAAAACAACGGCTAAGCTATTGCTCCTCAGTGTAAATATATTTACTTTAGAATAAGGTGGAAAAACTACAAAACAAAGATATTAGCAATAGAATGAGGAAATTTTGTAGTTTCCAAAGAACCGATATTAAAGATGAATTTCTTAGAGCTTAAAAGTTAAAATTATTAGTTTTTATTGTTCTGATAACTAGCTCATTGACCACGAATGTAAACAGACCACTATTGAAAATGGTATACTTGCGTAACTTTCAAGGATCAAAGCCGGGGAAACAGCTTCTGGTGTTTGCGAAACTTTATAATAAACTAGGCGATACACAGTTATTACTAGTACTAGTTAGTATTAATACAATTTCACAAATTTTTGGCACAAGGAATGCTATCACCACAAAAATATAATACTAGACCTCTCAGATTAACCAATAGAGATAAAAAATCTGCCATGTGCGCGGGGGTCCACATATTTTGTGTCTGGGTCCTTGAAAATATATATTACGATTTCGCCGTTTTTTGGATGTAAGATGAAATACCTTGACACCACGCCATTGCACTTTTAGCAGTTTTCAACATAACCGTTATTTTTTTCAGCAAGTTTGTTTGCCTTGGCTTTGGCGGTACATTAAACACTTAAGGGGATTTTTAGCCCACAAGTGTCTTTCGCTACAGAGATACCGTGTACCAAATTACTGTTTTGTATGTTAATTTAGTATAATTTTAACTTACATTAATCTATAATGTAGAAGTTATTTTGATAACAAACCATATAGGAAGAAATGGATTAATAAGTATTACAAACTTAAACCTGTCAATATCGTTCAGTTAATCAAAGTAAAACCCCACATGGTGTGTATGGATCCAGCTTCCTTAGTTCTAAATATCGGGTGGGTTTTTTCGAGGTATAGAACTTTAAGTTGGCATTACTGTTGAAGATGGCAATTTATCATGAATAGACTTACGCCTGCAAATAGTGCAATTTTATTTCGAAAATAATGGTTCTGTGCGGAATACGTATCGCGCACTACATTCATTGTTCAACAAACAAAACTGCCGTATTTGAAGTGAAGCTAATCATCAAGTGTTAGGTGCGCTTTATGGGCTGGTGGAATCATTGGTCCTTACTTCTTCTTCAAAGATGATGAGATCCAGAACTTTAGAGTTAATGGTGATCGGTATAGAGCCATGATTACTAACAACCATGATGTCCAGGAGGTGTGGTTCCAACAAGACGGCGCAACATGTCACACAGCTCGTGTCACAATCGATTTATTGAATGACACCTTTGGTGACCGCCTAATTTCACGTTTTGGATCTGTGAATTGGCCTCCAAGATCTTGTGATTTAACACCGCTAGACTACTTTCTGTGGGGTTATGTAAAGTCATTGATCTATGCGCATAAGCCACAAACGCTTAACCATTTGGAAGACAACATTCGCCGATATACCTACGTCCACAATTGTTGGAAAAAGTCGTCGAAAATTGGAAATCCAGATTGACTACATCCGAGCCAGCCGTGGCGGTCATATGCCACAAATCATATTTAAAATGTAATGCCACAAGATTATCTTTCGGATAAATAAAATTCATGTCAATTGAATAATCCATCGTTGTTTTATTGCAATTTAAAGTTCTATACCTCTAAAAAAACACCCGTTACAATCAATACAATACCAGCTGGTGGTACTGAGGAAGATGAGCTATCTGCGTTGTGAAAATCAAACAGAACTAGATCTGAATTTGTAGATGACAATCTTAGCACTAAGGAGCGACTATTTGAAAAACACTTGCTGATGTTATGTACTCGACTCAATTAGCACAGACGTTTATATCGTTTCAGTGAAGAAATTGGCTTAACAATTGGTATAACAGGTCCTGAGATATGGATTTACATCTAAAGATAAGCAGTGCCACGCCCATTACCCAGTTTTGATACCAGCTTATATAAAGGCTTATTTATATGTTGAGTTATTGCACTTTTAGTAGTTTTCAGCATCACCTTTATATGGGGAGAGGGTGTACTTAACATCCGATTTCACTAATTTTTACACTGTCGGAAAAGGTGTAGAGAAGAATTTCTGAACAATTTTGGCTGACGTAGCAGAAGTGGTTTGTGAGATATGTACATTAAATCTATTAGGGGGCGAAGCCACGCCCTTTTTCAAAATTTTCAAAACCACAGATTTCGAAGTGTCAACATCGCCATTTTGACATTTCAAAAGAGCGATCTGAGCTACTAACATCTAGACTCAAAGATAAAATTCATTATTGCAAGGTACAATACAAAAATAAAATTTCATGGTGATCGCGAAAAAAGATATTCTTAAATTTTTTAGTTCTTAAAAGGGTATAGTTCACTATAAGAACTTCAATTATAATAAAACTGGAGCCCTCTAGGTGCAACGCTGAAGAATGGAGATTGTTTATGGACTGCTGTAAGCAAAGTTTAAAGTATGTTTTACTAGACATTGATTATTAACATGAAGCTGTGCTCTGTGCTTTGCCTCCAATGCATCCCCTTGGACTTCTGAAGAAATATGTTAATTGGTTTGTATTTTGTATATCATTCAATAAAGTTTCCCGGTTTAGGTAATGAAAAGCTATTAGATGGTTTGATGATGATGAAAATTACTCGTAGCATTAAAAAATTAAGTATCAAGCTTTTGTGAGCACCGATTGTACTTGAAATCAATCTTATTTTAAGCGGCACCAAAATCATTGTGGGCCTATGTAATATCTGGAGATATTATGAAATTAAACATCCAATGAGAACAGTACATCTAAATTAAAGGTTAGGATTCTTCGAGATACAATACATACTGTCTTAACTGTTCTTGTATTTTGGGGTTATTGTTCGTAAATATTTCGGCGAATATTTCTCACGTACATCCTTGTGGTACAGTTATGATAATTGACTGGGAAAGTCTAGTTCGTTATATGCATCTCAAATCGTTCACGATATTACTTTATAAAGTTCACTTATTTATATTCGAATCCATCTGATCAATATTAGTGGTCTAGTGTCACTAATTTCCCACTTTCACCTTTTTCAGAAAGTGTATAAATCGAAATCTTCAGGGTATAAAACTTGAACGGATTCTTGTTCTGCTATGTGTTATTTTAAGGCAAAAAACATTAACTTTGCAAAATTCATAAACAAACCGAATAAATAATGTCATGCAATTGCCTACCTTGCGACCTCCGGGATGACAATGTCCTGAAGGCAGTCTGTCAAAGAGTCAACTATATGGCTGGCAAATAAAACGGGCGCGTAGTAAAAACGGCACACTATGCACCACAGCGCATAATTCACCCACTTAATTTATTATTTATTTAAGTAAATTTTCATAGAAGAGCACAAAGCGTATATTTCGCTACCGCCTTATAGCTCTCACAGATTTTATGGCGTACAAAACAGCTCGTAGAATGGCAATAGCAACAAAATCAGCTCCTAGGGGGTAATGGGTTCCCGTATGCTGGGACAAGTTGTTTGCTTTTGTTATTTGTAAATTGACAATTTGTTACGGCGCTACCGTGTCTTCTGCTCACCAAGTTTTCCGCTCACTTGCATACACGTCCCCACCGACGTATTAACAGCTCCGGTTTATGTATTTTTTAATATGCGTGATTGTGCATTTGTGTATGTGCGAGTGTTTCAAATGAAGTGGCATTTTTTATGTTACTCATAGCCAGTTTGCTCTCAACTGCTGGAAAGTGTGGTAGTGTGAGCGTTTTTTTGTTGTTGTGTTGTGCGATATTTGCGGCTATTTTTCAAATTTTTAGAGTTTTCTTGTAAGTGTTTTTCTTTCCGTGTTATCTCTGGTAAGTTGTGCGTGTTTCGCACTGCGTTCTCACATCTTTGCTATTCGCTATTCGCCGTTAGGCACTTTTTGCATATTTAATCAATCATTTGGAAGGTAAACAGAATTTATTATCACTGAAAGTTGTTGTCT